TACAAATAACACTTATCGTAATTTCTAGTCGCAACGTAGTACTGTCACACACTTTGCCATCAAAGTTCGCACACTTTTGAAATCGCCTTCGAATAAGTCATCACTTTACATCCGTACTTTGGACTTGCATCCAACGAGTGATTCGAAAGATTCGTGAATGAAACTAGCAAAGTACTAGATTTTTAAATAATAAAATTTAGAAGTTAAATGTATAAATCTTAAAATTTTGAGTGTTATACCACTCTTTTATTTGATTTATATCGAGTTTGATTCATTGATAATTGTAATATTATGATCGTAACATAACAAAAGTATAACGTCCTACCATTTCATTATAAATCTCATATTATGTTGATAAATATGTCGTAGGTACATGATGGGGCTATTTCTTTTCTTTTAATAGAGAAGTTCATGTACCATGATATTAAGAGAAAATAAAGTATTGATCTATTTAACGAACAAAAGGCTCATTTAATTCAAGGGACATACGCATGCATGCCTTATAATTATTGTTTCTTTGCTTATCTAACCCTTAAATTTTCATATTTACATTATGATAAATTCTTTTAGGACGTAAGATCTCATTACGTCTGTGGGTTTATACAACTTGGAGAAGACCTGTATAGAGAATATTAAAGAAATGGATAGAGGTATCTACAGACCCGGATTCGTTGTATCCATGTTGGTCTTCCTTCGATAAGATGAATGAGATGATTTAATCTCTTACTAAAAATAAGAGAGAGAAAGAGAGAGAGAGAGAGAGAGAGAGAGAGAGAGAGAGAGAGAGAGAGAGAGAGAGAGAGAGAGAGAGAGAGAGAGAGAGAGAGAGAGAGAGAGAGAGTTAGAGATCCCATAGCCTCTTCTCTCGACCTCTCCCCATTTCAATACATAAAGAGAGAAATGAATAAAATTGAAATTGTATAGTACAAAATCTATCCGCAGTGTCTTGTTGAAAGGGTTGTGATGTAAATGTCAAATGTTTTATAAATAATGATGGAGATGTATCAATCCCTTCAACGTTGGTTCTCACTTTGATTTTTTGCCAATCCTAAGGAAAAATAAATGAGCCGAACAAGAAAGTTTGAAGAGCATTGTAGCTCTGAGATAGATCATATTTAGCACTCCAAATAGTGAGGTCAATCTGGCAGGTCAGTCTGGTAGGTGGATTCAATGAATCTGGTTGAGGTATACAGTGTGCCTAATAACTGTCTTAGAATCATGTTGTTTTTTAGATATCCCTTAATCAAGAATTGGTAGATTTGGGTGACAGTTCACAAGATAGCTTTAACATATATATAGTGATAAAAAAAAGTGACTGTGAATTGATAGTGCTATGATATGTGGAAAATATGTGATAATCTGTCTAAAATTTTATTGCATGTGTATCAATTATTTGTTGTTATTTATGCTTATTCAAGTACTCTATGTGCAAATTACATGATACAGGTAATTATGAGAGCTTAAAGATGCATTAGTCTGATATTAGAGTGAAATGGAAGAAAGCAACTTCAACACAGATCCAACGACGTTTGAATCCAGTTTACCTAGAGTAGAGTCAAGAAAACACATATTGGGCAACTATGAACCACCCAAGCGCCCAGCACGGCGCACCCAACAAAGCGCCTGACACTTTGGCTACCATGGATGGGGCACCTAAGCAGCCCCTCCCAACACTGGTGCGCCTTGTGCCAAGGAGGCCTCCTACTGGAACCAAGCCACAATTCCTTAAATGAGCATGTTATTCTTAATCTATGAAGGGAAAGTCAGAGAAATTGTGAGGGGATCTTTGAGAGACGATTCTACAGGACTGTCTAGAAGAGTTAGTTATCATCACTAAATCAGGGAAGGACTGGAGAATGAATTAGCAGCTTAAGAGTGTAGCTTTTCTGGTTTGTATTTCTCAATTATGAATTTATTTGCTTTGATTGATACAATTTGTTTTTTATTGTTCCACAACGTTTGTCACTAATTATTTTTTTCTCATCTGCTTTGGTAAATATATGTTTTAGGGCTTATTTCGATGTATGTGAGTTGTATGAAATTTTATTATGGCACTATTTTATCCGTTAAATATTCATTTACAATCAATCTGGTCAATTGAATTGTTAAAATTCAATGTGAACTTTGAGTTTCAGAAAAATCTTTAGTGGAGCAACGATGACAAAACTCATTAACTAAGAGAATATTAATATTGCTTTTGGATTAGTGTTATCTTATAAGGAAATACTCAGTTTTCGTGATTTCATTAGATTTAGGGGACTAAAGTGGTTTAATGTTCTAACTTTTTTAAATTTGTCACTGTGTAAACCCTAGGCTTTTAGGATCCAAATCAGGAGAGATAACTTCAATTCCTTGATTTACCTCTCACATTTATAATATTTTTTGAGTCGGGTTCGATTTAGTCTATTCAACCCGTTTATTATTCGGGGCGAACCTGAATCCAACCGCCGACTCGAATTGACACCCCTGGCTCTACTCTCAAATTCTCCATGATTATAAAATCATTATTATTAAATAAATAAGTATAAATTAAAAATTCACAATTACATTACAAATTAAAAAAAAACATACATTCAGCATTTTATTTATATATTCAAAATACCAATCTTCAATTCTCGAAGTTTCTGCGAAGAGGCAAAGCCGATGTGTGTAAATGCAGTTACAAAATAGGGCTTTAGGATCCTGTAATAGGTAATATACTTATATAACATATATTAATATAGGATATTTAAAATTATAAATATATTGGTTACCTGGTATTAGAATTTTCATATAAAATTATTTATATTTGATGGGTGCCAAAAAATTCGCGTCGGCAGAGTAACGGATTATCGTCTTAGCGTTGTACGAGAATTTTGCACACACTCACATGAAAAAGAAAAAAAACAGTGACTACTCCAGAAGATTTTACGTGGAAAGCCCGTAAAGGGAAAAACCACGGGGTTTGGACATGTTGCAAAAATCTACTATTGATTGATGATTAAAGAAATCCCTTATCCCACAAACGGGAAAGGACAACTTATTTTTCAGATTATGACGTTGACTGAAAGCGTCTTATTGGTTGTGATCGATGATGGTTGGTGGATGTCAACGACGATTGTTGATGGTCTTTGACGGTCGGTGATGGTCGACTGCTATCGGCGGTGGTCGACGACGGAAGTCGGCGATGTTCGACGACGATTGGCGAC